TGGCCACTGCTGAGTTTTCCAAATTTGCTGACATATTGAGTGCAGCACTTTCACAGCATCATCTTTCAGGATTTGAAATAGCTCAACTGGAATTCCATCGCCTCCACTAGCTTTGTTCGTAGTGATGCTTCCTAAGGCACACTTGACTTCACATTCCTGGATGTCTTGCTCTAGGTGAGTGGGAGTGATGACACCTTCGTGATTATCTGGGTCATGAAGATCTTTTTTGTACAGTTCTTCTGTGTATTCTTGCCATCTCTTCTTGATATATTCTGCTTCTGTTAGGTCCATACCATTTCTGTCCTTTATTGAGCCTATCTTTGCATGAAATGTTCCCTTGGTGTCTCTAATTTTCTTGAAGAGATCTCTAGTCTTTCCCATTCTATTGTTCTCCTCTATTTCTTTGCATTGATCGCTGAGGAAGGCTTTGTTATCTCTCCTTGCTATTCTTTGGAACTCTGCATTCAAATGGGTATATCTTTCCTTTTCTCCTTTGCTTTTTGCTTCTCTTTTCCCAGCTATATGTAAGGCCTCCTCAGACAGCCATTTTGTTCTGCATTTCTTTTTCTTGGGGATGGTCTTGCTCCCTGTCTCCTGTGCAATGTCACGAATCTCCATCCATATAGTTCATCAGGCACTCTATCAGGTCTAGTCCCTTAAATCTATTTCTCACTTCCACTGTATAGTCATAAGGGATTTGACTTAGGTCATACCTGAATGGTCTAGTGGTTTTCCCCACTTTCTTCAATCTACGTCTGAATTTGGCAATAAGGAGTTCATGAAATGAGCCACAGTCCGCTACATAAATGCATGAAGAACAAATTGAAAATCACCATTCAGTAACTGCTGATGTTTATATCAGCTTACCTTTTTTTGAGATCCATTTTCAGGATATATATAATTTTTCCTTTTTGAAAAAAATTACATCCTATTCTATAAGTACCCTGCATTTCCTAAATGATACTATATCCTGAACATTTTTGTATCAATATATGAAGATACATATCAAAATTTCTAATGCCTGCATAATATTCCATTAAATGAACATACTGTCATTGTTAGGCAGCTCCTGACTGATGGATATTTACACTGAAATACTATTTCTAATTAGGGTTTGGTTCAACTTTTTGGTCTCTTATTTTCCCTTGTTCTATGAAATAACACAGGTAGTATTAAAAAGTCAGTGGGGCAAATTGCAAGCTACTTCCAAAACTGAAGTTTAGATGAGACTCTGACCATGAAACCTGAAGAATCAAGAGGGGATGAAGTCAGCAGATCTGTCAGAACAACCCAAGATCCTGCCAACACTTACAAGTGAAACATGGCAAACAGTCACCACACCTGTGATCACTGGCTCACTGTCAGTCTTTGGCTCTATGCTGTGAGCTCCATGGGAAGCTGTACTGTCCACAGCTCAATCCCCAGCACCCGGTGCGTAGCTGATCAATAAGTGTTTGCCGGGTGAATGAATCTCAAGGATAGAGAACTAAAACAAAGTCATTTCAAAATGCTGAATTTAATCAATTGAATTATATTCTGACAAAAGAAGGAATGTGCACCAGAAAGGGAGATGGTACACACAGCGTGTCTAGGAAAAGCAGAGTACAGAGGCAAAACTGATCAGTGTTTCCAAGAACCTGGGGCAGCAGGAAGAACCCTCTTATGGAGAGGGATGCATTAAGCTCTCAGGGCTCAGTGACACGGACCACCAAGAAGATCCTGCTCACTCCTCCTGCCCTGAACCCACACTCATCAAGCACATCATTTAGTTTCCAGTGTGGACGTGCATAAAAGAAGACACAGGAATCAGCAAACTCGAGGCCCAGGCTAACAGCCAGCTACTCTTATCATGAATTAATACTCTGACATGACACCTTTGATGAGACTTGGACTTGGGTAAGTCAGTCTTCTGAAATCTGAACGTCTCTGACTGTCCTAACAGGGCTGAATATTTAAGCCATGATGCTGAAACATGCTGATCACAACATGGTACCTATTGTGAAAGCCAGGCTTCTATGAAGGTGGCCCCCACGCTCCTCACTTTCAGGAATTCATACCAGTGTAAACCCTCCCCTGAGTGTGGAGGAACCTGGGACTTGCTCTTAACCAACAGAATACAGCAGAGACCAGCTGAGTGGCAATTACCTGGTCTCCACCAGCAGGTGTAGTCACCTGGGGTTATGACACCAAATTATATAGGGTGTGGTTCTGCTTACTGGGAAGAGAATAACTATGTCATAATCTAACATTTAAGTCTGTTAATAGATATCTAAATGGTTTCCTTGCTTAGAAAAATCTCAAAAGGATACTGTAGAAAGAATAAGAATTTTAACAGGTTTTTTTCTAACATTGGCTCTGTTGTGGCCAGTAGAAGCAAATTATGAAATAAATCTAGTTTGCTGCAAGAGATGAAAACACAAGAAATACCAATTTATCCCATCAGATTGGCAGGTGAAGTGTGAACAGGAACACATGGGACACACTAGGGACAACGGGAACACCAGGTGGGAATGTGAGTTAGTACCATGACTTTGGAAAGTAATCTTCAAGATCAAGGAAAGCTGAAGATACACAAGCCTCATGGCCCAGCAATTTCACTGCTAAGAACTTCCCCCAAAGCTTCTCACACATGTCCACAGGAGACCTTTAGAAGAATACTTAAGGCAGCACTGTCTTCTAAAAGCAAAAAAGTGGGCAGAGAGGGGAACTGAACACCCATCATTAGGCAAATGGATGGATAAACTGTGATAGTCATGGAATGAAAGAACTAGCAGTTGTGGAAAAATTGGATTACAAGTCCAAAATGAGTGAATCTCACAAACATATTAAAAAAGCAAGCTGAAGAAGGATATGGACACGATGATGACATTTTAAAGGTTGACATTTATAACATCATAAAGGTTTAAAATGTGCCAATTAACTTGCCAAATCTATAATATCTAAAGATGAACAAGGAAATGAACAACGCCAAATCAGGGTCATATTCATCTCTGAGTGGGAGACAGAAGACTACAGGAGGCTTCAACTCAAGGTATAACATTTTACTTCTTCCATTTATTTGTCATTACATCACTGAAAAGGAAAGTACTTCCTCCTGCCCCCTCCTTAAAAAAACACAAATCTGTAAAGATCATGAGCTTGAAGGGAGTCAAACTGTTAGTCCTTCAAGGACATGCACAGAAAAAACTTGCCCTATACATTCTGGGGAGCACCGGATCAGAATTACAAGGCAATAGTATCTAATCTCCATCAAATCTCTACCCTTCGTGCCTTTTTCTACACTTAATATGTGATCTTATCTAGACATTAACATTTCTATAAACGCCTATTGGTTAAATGTCCACCAATAAGAGAGTAATAAATTAAAATGAACTGTGGTGTTGGAGAAGACTCTTGAGAGTCCCTTGGACTGCAAGGAGATCCAACCAGTCAATCCTAAAGGAGATCAGTCCTGAATCTTGATTGGAAGGACTGATGCTGAAGCTGAAGCTCCAATACTTTGGCCACCTGATGGGAAGAACTGACTCACTGAAAAAGACCCTGATGCTGGGAAAGACTGAAGGCAGGAGAAGGGGATGACAGAGGATGAGATGGTTGGATGGCATCACCGACTCGATGGATATGAGTTTGAGCAAGCTCTGGGAGCTGGTGATGGACAGGGAAGTCTGGCGTGCTGCAGTCCATGGGGTCGCAAAGAGTCGGACACGACTGAGCAACTCAACTGAAATGAAAATTAAAATACGGCACATCCACTCAAAAGGATATCTATAGCTATTTAAAATAATGGTTACAAAGAGTATGAAGTAACACGGAAAAGATTTACTACCTATCATGTTAGGTTTTGGTTTTTTTTTAAAAGAACAAGATTTGAAAATGGATTTTCAGTACTATATAAAACCATAACCAGGGCCTAGAAACCGAGCTTTACTCCATGGCACCACAATCTAGGTGGTGCAAACAGTTTATTTAAAGGACCCCATAAATGTTTAAGTTCTACCCCTGCCATCTCCCTCTCCTCTACCACCCCAAGGTGGGGCACTCACCCAACCTGGGGTCAGCACAGATGGATGAGTCATCAAGGACAAGACACCTACTGCCCCTCCCGTGCACAGGCCACCCTCACCTGCCTCCATCCCTCTCCCATCGGACACCCCTGGGCCCCTCTCTGCATGCCTGCATGCTCCTGTGACTTGGGGCTGCCTTCCCAACCCACACCTGTGGCCACCCTGTGCCACATCGCTAATATTGTTCTGTGGTGTGAAGAGCCCATATTGAGCAAACGAAGTGTTTTCAGTAAAAGGAAGAGGAAGAGGGCTGTGCAACTGAGGCCAGAGATGATGACTTTCAAAGCCAAAGTATCCAGATTGATAAG